TGTCTTTTTAGACGACGGAGCTGTAATGCTATTTCTGTCATTCAGTTTTTTTCGCAAGTATTCAATCCAATCATCAGAATTATCAGGGACTAACTCTTTAATTGATAATTTTCCATCAATCGTGTAAATTATTTTATCAGATCGAATTATGTATGGTTCTTGAATTTGATTCTTTTCAAGCTTCTCAAAAAGTTCACTCGCGTCTATTGGATTTTGGAGGCTATAAGGGTCCATTAAATTATATTGATCACCTGAAATATAGAATAATCTTTCACCTTTTTGGGATGCGATCAAGTGAAATTTATCTATTACCAATTGTGTATCAACTAAAAATTCAATTAAAAATATAAAATAAAATTAAATCAATTTATATGATCATTTATTCATTTCAATATAGAACTTACAGAATGCCAGGTTTATCCCAGTTTCGGTGGAAAAGGTGTATAAACGTGTTATCTTAGTTTCCTTATTTTTTGCACATATTAATAATAATTCTTCATCATCACTAATCTCAACAGATTCAAGTGTATGATCCCAATCTATTAAAATACGGGTTTTAATCGATAAATCTTCAACGTCCCACATCGTGATCTCATAAATCGTATCATTAAATATGATCAATTTTCCCCTAAGAGTAATATATATATTTTTAAAATATTTCAGCTCAATCATTGATCTACAAACCCAACTAACGTTATCTTTACTTGAAAAAACATATGCTCTGTAATATTTGGTATTAACCATTACAATATCTCCGTTATCAATCAAGGATAAGAAGTCAATTTCCTTTTGACAATCTGGAAAAGTGAATCGGATCTCTTTCCCAGTTTCAAAATTGAAAATTTCTTGAAAAATATATTTAAATACAATAAATGCAATTGAATTTATTAAATTGATTGAAATAGATAATAATTAAATTTATGCATAACTTACTAAAATTATAAGGATCGACTCTATTGACACTAATTGAAACGCACTTATTGTCTGAAATTGCAAATATTTTTTCACCATTTTTATTTGTGCGAATATTGTCAATATGGATTGTCTTTACGTGTGTTAAAGGTTCTTCTTGACTAATGGTAGACCAAATACTAATATTGCTATCTTCATCTAATGTAGCGACATGTTTCAAGTTAAAAGAACAAACTATTTCCGAAATTTTATTTTTATCTGGGGCTTCTTCCATTGGAATTTCCACATGAGAA